TCAATGACGATGGTATTCTTGCGATCCGCCAAGACTGGGTAATGGCTCCTGACAAGCTAGTCGATCCGCTGACATGGTCTAACGGTGATACTACTGATGGAGGATGCATGGGAGTAGTATGTTTTCTTCTTGTAAATTCGCTTTGCGTCTCTTGAAAAGTGAGATATATTATGGAAATTGTGGAGTCGCATTTTCTTAGATTTGATCAAAAGGCAATGAATATCCAGAAAAATTCAGAAAGACGCGTTCAAGGAGAAGATGGATGTTCAGGTTTTGTAAACAAGATGCGTATGGGAGTCTTGCTTCCCTGTCCAATGGTCTGTAACTGTTCGGTTGGAATTTTCTAATAAATAACTCCGCGGCGAAGGCCCTACTGTCTTGTCACCACAATCGTAAGTCAAGTGATATATGACATTTGTAACAGCACAGTCAACATAACTGCGTCTGCGACACGTCGTGAGCACACTGCAGATGTCTTCCCACCTGGTAACGAAACGTTTGCAAATCATTTTTCAAGCTTGATAAACCAAAAGACAACCAATGGACCCACCCAAACTACAGGTTTTCAGCACTAACGAAAGCCACCTGGGATTGCCGATTTCATCTGAGCAGAAGCTTGGGAGTTTACCTGTTTCAAGCTGAAATAAACCAAAAGACGACCAATAGACCCACCCAAACTACAGGTGTTCCGCACTAACAAAAGCCATTTGGGATTGCCGATTTCATCTGAGCGGAAGCTTGGGAGTTTACCTGTTTCAAGCTGTTTAATAGTCTGGACTTTTCCACTCTTCTTACAAGAATTGATCATGACAGGCCAGATACTACTCTCTTTCTCTATCCTGCCACATCATTGAGCCTGTGGACGGTGTTAAGTCCCGACTCATCACATCACAGGCAGGACACGTTTCACACACAACTTTCGTTTTCTCAAATTTCATTCTGATGGTTTTCAGACAATTTACCCAGGGAAAATACCTATATATTTTTATGCCTTCTTTTTAGCTCGCTTTTTCTTTTCCACCTGACGGTGATCGCTTTAAGACAACTTAGCATACTGCCTAACAACTCTAGATTCGTTCAGATAACATTTTTCAAAGATTTTTCTGCCTCTATGACTTCTGTATTGTATGTGTTTCATCCTTAATACTAAACATGGAAACTTTAAAATAAGTTGTTCTAATCCGACATTTCGGTTGACCTGAGCAATCGTTTTCAAGGGTTTTTACAATCGATTGAATGCGAGTAAAATTCAGCGTTTCAGAAGAGCATGGTAAACAAAACTGCCGATTGTTTACAGAGCTCTTCTGAAATGATCACTTCTCTCACTAGGTTCCAAACCTTTTCCAATCGATTGAGAGTGCAGCGCTATTTGAGTTCGCTATCGTGAGCTCTGATTGGTTGCTTCTTGACACTAGGTGGCAATCGGATGTCACCAGAGCGTGTGGTTGTGTGTTCGCGTGAATATGTGTGTGCTATGTGCCGCAGTTGTTCTCACACTCGTTGTGGTGTGTGTTCGCGAGAATGTGTGTGCTGTGCCGCAGTTGTTCTCACACTCGTTGTGATACTTTCTTGTTGAGATCTTCGCTTGACATCTGGCCAGTATGCCTACTAGATTGTGTAAGCCGGATTGACGGTGATAATCCACAGAGATGGCACTTCAGACGCTATCTTCAGGTTCATGATATTGGAAAAATTCTTTAGAATCGATAACGCCTTACAAGGACACCCCGTTTTGGCTAAGGACCGAAACATAGCATCAACTGCGCCTAACAAACCCCCTGTGCAGAATATCCGAAACATGGAGCGGGTGTACGCTCAAGCTTTGGAGATCAACATACAACCGTAGTGATGGCTTAGATTGGCTTTAGTATGCAGTGTAGCAAGATGTCAACAGCTAGCGAAAAAGGAACGCCCGCATATCCTAGTCAACGGGCATACACACCCATGCACTGGTCGCGTTTGATTGCCAACTGATTTCATAAACAAACCAATCAGAAGAAATGATAGCGGACCCAAATGACGCTGACTAGCATTCAATTGATTGTGAAATTCAGCTAAATACACTCATTTGCAAACTAATTTGATTTTTTCAAGAGACTCACCTGGATCCAAGCTGAATCTCTCGTCAGTGATGTTTTTAAGCAACTGAATGTGCTGCATCAGGCCACCTCACATTTCATTTGGTATCACTGAAAGGAAGAAGGCCTTCCCTAAGGAGTAGTCTAGTAGAGAAACACCAACTTAACAGTTACAGGCTATTGAACAGGGAAGCGAACCTCTCATATGAATCTTGTTTACAAGACTGAATATCCATCTTCTACTTGAACGCGCCTTCATGAACTTTTCCCAACAAATTCCGTAATAGATCTAACTCTTCAAGTGACGTGGAACGTATTTACGAGAGGACACTACTCGCATGCCTCATCAGTAGTATCCACCGTTACACCATGTTCGAGATATTGCGATACTTCCGTCTGCTCTAGCTGGCTTGGAGTTAAGCTTATTTCTACATCAGTACGCCTCACTGCTCCCGTACAGTTTTAGTTCACCTGCCGTCTAAAAGATATCTAATCCTTGCCACTTAGCGCTCTGTTCTCAGCGTTTTGTTATTCTGTCTTACGGAATGTATGCACGTTTATTTGAGTAGTTGAGTAGTGCTCTAAAGAGGCGCCATTTATAAAAAAAGACATTCTATTCCTTTCGTTTTCACACAACTGGTTCAGGGACCTTGGATATATTTTCAACTCTGTTGTTAGCACAGTAATCACGAACGCTGTCTCACGTTTTGAGCAAAAATCAATAAACAGTCCACTGTTGTAGGACTGAATAGATCGGATTCCTTGCGGGTAATTTCGTGGTTAATCCGGTCTAGAAGAACCGCCAAACACGTGTTTTCGTGTTCTCCTTACATGGGTGACGTATCTGTTTTACTGGAGCAAAACAACAGGGAGGTAGGCGAGGAGCAAAACCAAAAAAACAACGCTTGATCCGGCTTATCCGTGTAGCAGAAGCGGAAACAGGATCATTTGTGTTTTCTTTGACGTCAGTGAGTGTCGAGAAAGCCAGACAATGAGGATGCGAAATGTGGGTATATGGGACTGACCCGCTTAAATTGAGTTGTGATCTCCCGTCTCTTGACATTAACGCAAGTGAAGATTTCGGTTAGGTGTTTACTGACTAAAGCCGCCCAAAATTCTGCATGTTTTGAGTTTTTACTAAGCCACTAAACGCGAATTCTCAACCGGAACGTTCCAACCAGCATCAGACTAGCTGAAAAAGAACTGTGGATTTGCGAATATACACTCATCTGCAAACTAATTTGGTTCTTTCGAGAGATTCACCTGGAGCACAGATGAATCGTTTATGATGTTGTCAAGCAACTGAGTGTGCTGCACCAGGCCGCTTCATGTTTCAGTCGCTACGATATTTGAAATATCGCGATACATGTATAGATTTGTAATGTACTGCTCATAAGGTTGCTGTACATTTGCTCTCGGGGATTGCACCACATTGGAGTGCAGTCATTGACCCACAAACCAAAAATATAATTCGGTTTTCGGTGTGCTAACTCATGAAGCAAACTCGAGGACTGCGTCTATCTGATGAGTCTCAAGAAGGGCGAGACTGGTCGTGCGCTGTGGAAGAGTTTTCAGCAATTTTGTGAACAGTTTCTCTTATGCGATATCTCGAATATCGTACCAACTGAATGATGAGGCGGCCTTTATGCAGCACATTCAGCTGAAGAATATCATAAACGAGAGTGTCTCTGTGCGGATGAGTGTATTTGTCGGACTCAGTGATAAAACTCTATCGGAAGACAGTCGGCAACCCATAATCCAAAATGATTATTTGGTTTTCCGTGTGGTAACCCACTAGGTGTTGAGTTACCACCAGTGGTGAATTACCAGAGCTTCAGTTGTACCATCTCGTTTACGCGAAAATACGCATTTGTGGTTCAGAACCATCATCATCATCATCATCATCATCATCATCATCATCATCATCCGAATCATCATCTTCATCTTCATCGTCATCATTCGAATCATCATCACCATCATCATCATCATCATCATCATCATCCGAATAATCATCTTCATCTTCATCATCGTCATCCGAATCATCATCACCNCCGAATCATCATCATCATCATCATCATCATCATCATCATCATCATCATCATCATCATCATCATCATCACAAAAACGCGGAATTGTAGCTGTTTTTATTTTCAAAACAACACTTTCGGATTCAAACCCTTTCCACCTGTTTACTATCACTGCTCAACGGAATTATCAACAAATCTGAATGCGTGATCTTGACGCAGTATGCAGAATAAACACATGGTCCCATTCATATTTCGCTACACGAGAGTTAAGAATTACGACTCATTTAGATGTGTATTAGGGTGATTCCGAATTCGAAAACCTCCCCAAAGTGCTAGCGAAAATTTGTCGTGAGACTACTCAACACAATATGTCTGATCTTTNTCATCATCATTATCATCGATAACTGCAAACAATCCGAGTACGACGGCAGTAGAGCTCCCAAATATCCTGTCAAATTCAAGGCTTACCTCTAGTACCAATGCTGTGTCGTTTAATTTTGCCTCTAATTATTCATTTGAAACGCGTGGTTGGTGAACAAAAACGCGGGAAGACGTATTTGAATTGTGATCGATCGTCCTACCGAATAATGGTAACTACGCCAAAAAAACAGCCACTCCTCTGTGTGCCCACTAAAATATCTGGCAGTCTTCTTCCCCTCCTCTGGTAAACACATTGACAAAACCTTGGGCTGGCACCTACGCTGGAAACTAACTGCCAGTTGACAAGTTTGAACAACAAATCTGGTTTTATCCTAGTCCGAGAACACCATCTATTGTGTGCAGTCTAGTTCAAAGTGGAAAAGGTACATATATGCCTATCTGCTCAACCCTACTTGCTTGTATCCTTTTGAGTTCCTAGTAAGAGAGAATAGTCGAATTTACAATGAACCCTTACTCGGAAATCATTTGTTGCCACTCTTCTCGAATATGGTCCCATAGGATAATCTGGCCCATCGGATTGTGGGCGACATGGCTTATGGCCTCGGTGATTTCACTCTGTTCAGCCGGCTGCCGGGATAGTAATGAGGTTATGTATCTGCAACCAAGAAAGAACAAGGGAAACGGTGGTCCCATAAGTGAACTTGTACAAAAGGACAACATTAGGTCACTTATGCTTGGTCATATAGAAAATTCTCGCGGACGACTAGATCAATATTGCTTGTCTTACCATAGTTACTATAAATAGAATCAACTTTGTTGAAAGGCACTATATCTTACTATGGCTTAACGAAAAGATGATATCTCACAGTAAGTTGTTGGATCAGATGTACCGTACAAGCGTCTAAAAAATCTGAATTTGAGATTCTTATACGCTTATTGTGACAATGAGCTGAAGCGGTACTCAAGTTGACTGGTATATCCAGAAAATTAATTGCTGAGAATAACTGTACTAGTAATAACAATGCAATTCCTTGATCTTTCATTCATTACCCCCTGATAACTATTGGCCAGTATGTCTATAAACATCACGTAGTTAGGTATACAGACCTCAAAAACCAAGAGATTCTCACTCGTTTAGTAACCATGCATCTCTTGTGCAGGGCAATGCATATCGAATATTGGATAGTTCGTCATCGCGATTCACCGTCTTTAGCTGGTTGTGCAAGAACTGCCACTCCAACTGTCCACCCCATTGGATGGCTGTGCAATAGACTGTTGGTCGTAGCGACGGCGGTATTCTACAAAGAGCGAAAGTACAGGAGATTCGACGCTCGTGTGGATAAGTGACCAATAGGACGAACTCCAAACTTTAACGTTTAGTAAACTTGGTGGAAGACACACTCCGAACGCTTATGAACTTCATGAAAACTCATCGTGAAACTCGTGGAAACAAACGAAACAGCGGCAAGTAATAAATAAACTTTCCCATCCCCCCCCCAAATAATTATAAGGGCAAGTCAGTATTGGGGACAACTTCGATCGTGGCATTCACATTTATGGGCGTCAAAACCTCAGTATTACAGTTAGTTTGTGTTTTTCACGACTAATTTGACACAAGTGGTCCACATAGTCTTCACTTACAGGGCAAAATCCCCCACTGGGCTGTCAAAGAGTTTTCAGCAACCTTGTGAGTAGTTTCCCGTATGAAAATATACTGCGATATCTCGAATACCGTTACAACTGAAATATGAGGCTGCCTGTGTGCAGCACAATCAGTTGTAGAATATCATAAACGGGAAATTCAGTTGGGTCTCTCGTGAAAACCAAATTGATGTGCAAATGAGTGTATTTCTCGAAAACAGTCCAATTTGGGTTCAAGTAAAACATAGGGTTGACGGAAACTCGAGGACTGCGCCTACCTGATGAGCCCGGAGTGGAAGGGCGAAACCGGTCGTTGGCTGTCGAAGAATTTTCAGGAACCTTGTGGGTAGTTTCCCTTATGGAAATAAGAATCGATGTCACTTCCCGTTTTTTTTTCTGTCAGTTTGTAACATGTATTGGTTGGAACAAGCCCAGTGACTTACCTGTTAGTGTGGTTATCTGCCATCCAATCAGCATATAGTTGCTTTGCCCTCGTGACGCACAAACGATGGCCGACTCGACACGCCAGTTTCGCCAAGCTCCCGCGTAGCAAACTGTGGACAGCGAAGAAGACAGACACAACAACAAGGAGACTTGGAATCACATATGGTTATGTCGCACCTTAACTAGCGCTTGATGGATCGATCGCGGGACCATGGATGCCAATCCGCCATGCTGAAGTTCTCGTCTTCACATATGCTCCGACAAACTAAATCAGATAGTTGTTCTATCTTGCAGTTATTATACGCATTTTGGTCTAAATTCTCGGTATTCAAAAAAGAATGTACAACAAGGTGACAAGGTGTACACAGGCGTGTTACCGTAAGGCAAGGTGGGTATCTCCGCCTTGCACCAACATCCTGGCATTTATACAGGCACAGTTGCCAGTATACGATTCCACTACCTGAAATGCTACTCTTGGTAACTTCAAAAGCACCAGATGATGTAAGATTACATGGCCCGCTGGCTGACCGCAAACCACTGTCGTTTTCATCCGCTATTGAACATCATCCGAATCATCATCATCATCATCATCATCCGAATCATCATCTTCATC